AAATCGAAGTGCCGATCTTACGATCCGAGACTTATGATGAAGAAACCAATGAGGATGATCTATAGACTAGCCTTGACATGATAAAACAATTTTGTGATCTTGCCTACTTTCGGACCGCAGCATACCAACAGCGAGTGGCTYTATACTATAATGCCCGAGTCAAGAGACACCAATGTAAAGTTGGCGGCCTAGTACTCAGGAAGGTTACGGTGCCAAAGCCCGGTGTAGGAAAGCTAGGCCTGAATTGGGAAGGCCCTTATAGAGTCTTCAGAGTAATTGGTGAAAACGCATACGAGCTTGAAACATTGGAGGGGAAGTTGGTACCCCGTGCATGGAATATAGATAACTTAAGGAGATATTATCTGTGAAAAGAAGTGTTTTGAGCAATGTCCCGGATTTTTGAAATTTCATTGAGTATGAAAATAAAGCCTAAGGGACGCCAAATTGCTTTTCTGGACTAAGGCACCTAGGCCAACTTCYAGCAGCTCGGCCAAAAGAAGCTTAAGRGATGCCAAATCACTTTTTAGCACTAAGGCACCCCGGCCGATCTCCCARCAGCTCGGCCAAAAGAAGCCTAAGGGGTGCCACATCGCTTTTTAGCACTAAGGGACCCATGCCAACCTCCTAGCAACTCAACCAAAAGAAGCATAAGGGAAGTCACATTGCTTTTCAACACTAAGGCACCTAGGCGGCTGGGCCGACCTCCCAACAACTCAGCCAAAAGAAGCCTAAGGGATGCCAAATCACTTTTCAGCAATAAGGCACCCAGGCTGACCTCCCACTAGCTCAGCCAAATAATATTTGAGGGGAATCCCTAATCGCCTTTCTAGCYCTAAGACCCCTAAGCTGAACCACTCCTACAGACAAGTTGGTCAAAGATAGCTTGTGCGACATAATACCTTAGCAAGACGGAAATTTCAGAGCATTGTGTATTAAAGCAAATTTCATTAAGACTGCAAAATAGGTACATCAAAAAAAGAGAACCCTCAAATGGTAAAGTTTGTAAATGGAGCACACAGGCCCCAAGAAACACCTTACGTGTGCAGGCTCCCGAAAACATCATCAAAAAAGGAGACACCAAACATCACGACTGACCGAGTTGTCACACCGCCCTACAACTTGTCATCGACATTATCGTCCCCTCCACCCTCTTCTCCATTGACTTCCTCCTCATCTTCATTAGGAGTTAAAGGGTCGTGGTCAACCTACACAGCCAACTCATCCGACACATCATTGACAGCCAGAGTGCCGAAGTCGAAGTCGAGGTGCAAAGTCTTCAAGTAGTAGCGACAAAGCTTAAATCCACTTCTCATTGTGGGAATTGCTTTATCGACCTTCTCCTGGGCATACTCGGGGGAATGGCGAAAACGTTTGACAATTGCAATCTTGGCCCAATGGATATCTTCAGCATCCACCTCTCTTCCAACTAGCATTTTTGGGCAGCAATGGTCTCCTTGGACTCGTTCAGCTCGCACTACATCTCACCACTCAGCTTGATGAATCATTGGTGATCTTCTTCATCGATAAGTTGAATCCACTGCATTTGAGACTGTAGAGCATCAATGTTCGCCTGCAGCTCATGCCTCTCTCTCCAGACTGAGGTGACCTAATTCAACAGAAACTGGCCCATAGCATTTGCCTACCAAAAGAAGAAAAAATACAGTTAGTACAAGGGCCATAGAACAAGAGAATAGAAGCTTTAAAAAGAAAGAGACGAACCTGGAGGATGCACCAATTCATCCTAGCGCCAACCTTAGCTAGGTCTAAGCCGCGATAGTACTGCACATCCTYGGGTAGGAGCATACCTCTCCCCATCCAAAGAGCCACCTGGAGATCATTAAGGTGGTCGAGCATAGAAACATTGATGTTCAGGACGAAGCGGGGTATGTCAGAAGGGTAAGGACCAGCAAGACGTTCTTCTTGGCTGACTTGAAATTAAGAGGCGGTAGGATCCATAGGGACCTGATTAGTGCTCATAGAGTCGCTGTCTCCCTCAAGGTTGACAACATTAAGTGCGAATGCCGCCGACCTCACCTCGGCACTAGCCGAGATACCCTCCATTGACGAGCGTTCAACCCTCCTCTTTTTTCCTAGATGCCTTCTTCTTTGATGCCGCTAGAAGTGATTCCATGCTTGCCATATCTGAAGAAAGGCAATGGAGACGTTAGCTGAGTTAAAATTAAATTCCAAAGCAAAATACAAAGGGCGTGTTTGCCAACCTACCTACATGGCTCAGGTTGACCCCAATAAGCATATACTCGGCCAAAAAGTTTTCTACTTGAAACTTTCGGTGCGCGAGGCGTTGAACCTCAAGTCACAACTCTTCGTCGAACTCTACGCTGAATTTCCAGCAATCCCTTCGCCATATAGTGTTCGTGTTCTAGCCAATACTATGAGAAAGGAAGAAGTTTTTGTTGTTCCTATATTTAACCTTTAAGGGAAAGCCATCTAACAGCTTGTAACCACAGAGGAAAGGAGGGTAAAAATAGTAGGGTACGTGGGGGACTTTCTTCATGACACATAGCTCGAAAAAAACATCYAAGTCTAAAGGAAAATTGTGATGATGGCACAAGGAAATCAACCCTACCAGTGTTTGGACTACATTAAGGTGGAGCTGACCTAAAGAAACACCATAATACGAAAGAATAGTAGGGATTAAAATGACGCAAGGGAAAGTGGAGGTCGGCGACTAGCGCCTCCTCAAAGAAACAGACCTCATCTCGGCCGTGACTCCACGGGAAGTGATCAAGGTCGTGCTGGATGTAGTCAAACTCACTAGGTATCTAATATAGGGTGTACAACTCAACTATACGCTCGCCGATTAACTCGGAATGACCGAACGGGGATTCCTCTTCATAGGCCTCCACCTCCGCCTCTGGTTGAGATGTTGAGGTCTCGGCCTGAGAACCCTCTTGGTCTCGTGACAAGCTCTCCCCTCTCACCCACCTAAAGTTCAGTGATCTACCCTCAGAAGGACCAGAAGACATAGCTATAAAGGAAGTGACTCACCAGTTGATGGGAAACAGAAAACCAACACCAGCGACAAATAGACTCCAACAGCACGAACGAGCAGCAACACCTTGATTGAGCTCTCCTCCGATCGGTCACTCTCTCCCTCAGTGAAGGCTCCAAAAATAGTGCGAGTGGGACCTTGGTGGGGACCTCCTATTTATAGTTTACTGGGAAGAAAAATCAACAACTGAGGCGCCCTGCCAGCAAATCGGCGGTTGAGAAGGCATCGCCACATGCGGGCTATTTGAATTTTGAACTTTGCGCGCCCCTTTCAAAATTTTAAAATTTGAATTTGCCACAATCTTGCCTATTCTTGACCCGGATCAGGTGAGCAAGCCGAGCAACCTATGAACCAKCCGGACCAATTACCATATTGAGAGCTAGTCCCTCCACCGAGCTAACGCTGACTCGGGAGTGGGGGAATTGATGAGGGGTAATTTGGTCCTCTGAATGACATCATCACACGTGGTTTTCAAGTGACACCTTGGCGTTGAGTAAGTAGATCACCTCAGCAAGTCAACTGGTAGCTCCTCATAGGGCCGACCTAAAGTACTTCGGCTTGGCTGACCTGAAGGACCTCCAAATAAGGGGTGACCTATCTTAAAGATCGACTGAGCTAAGAAAAGTACTATTGGCAACCTACGAGGCATGCTYGCTGACTTGTCACATAGATCTGTTGATAGACCGAATTCTCTGGAATATTAATGAGTCGATCGTTAGGTTAGCCTTCCCGTATCATGTGCATCAGAGTCAATCGGATGGACCTCAACCCTTTGCGTAGATGACGTAATCGACATCATTACTCTCCTGACTTAATGGAAATGGCTCTACGAGGGCCTAGGACCCATTACAAGAGGTCTTTGATCACTCACAACTATATAAAGGTCTCATTTCCACCTGAAGAGGTACGCGCGATTAATCTTCCGCATTCTCTAATCTCTTAAGAACTTCTAAAAACTCTTTGCTAAGTTAAGCATCGGAGTGCCCAGCCCAGGTAAAAGCAACTCGGGTACTCTAATTCTCTCTCTTGCAAAATTACATAGCTCAGCCAGCCTTAGCTTGGTCGTCAACAGTGAACATCCGATTCAACATCTGAGTCATTTGCCACATGAGAGCTGCCAAATCGCGCTACATCACTAGGTAAGTTATCCATATCCCCTGTTACATCACAACCATCATGAAGGAGTGCCTTCGTTTCAGTACCCACAACTGTAGTATGCGAATCATTATTTGCAGTCATCAATGCTTCGTCTGACGTGGTGGGCGTGCACAATTCAGTGATAAAGGGATGAATGGGTTCTTATGGTGAGGCCTCTTCGCTGCCCATTTCATAGGAAGCCTATAAGAAGGGGACCCACTATTTTGGGGTTAGTTATGCTTTGTTTGGATCCGGTGTAAAATGTCATTATTTGTAGTACACTAATGACATTTTACACTGAAATATAATAGGTGACTGTTACATTTTGAAAATTGTGATAAAAAGTGTAAAGTTTTACCTCGATATAATCAATGTAGTATTTACATCGATAATTAATGTAAAACTTTATCTTGATGAGTAAAACTCCACTAACGCCAATAAATCTAAATCGGAATGGAGTTTTRCATCGATCTTCATTTACACTTTTCTAAACGTCAACAAAACCGAACCGGTGTAAACTTTTACATCGGTCTTGATTTACGCTAATTCCAAACAAAGCTTTAGGTTTCAAGAGAGAATGACAAGAAAAATAAAATTTGAAAAGTTTAGTGGAATACTTTGATAATTTACTATCTTTAGTTAACTGATTTAACGGCCAAGGAGTCATTTGTCACAACATAAAAGTCGAGGGGGCCTTTATCATAAAAAAAAAGGGGTCTGACCAATAATACAGGGGTCATTGTAATTTACCCTTTTTTTCATACAAATTTTCTCATCAAATAAACTTATTATAAGTAGCTGAGAAAATATTTTTTCCTTATAATCCAACCTTTCTCAGCCCAATAAAATAAAGTTCTTCCGGTAATATACTCTTCTCTCATCGATCATCATAGGTATTGCTGTGTTTTTAACATAAAATTTCCAACCTTTTTGACGAAAAAAAGGGTTTCGGCGTTTTGTGGCTGGCTGGGAACTGACTGTCACACAAAACAGCAAAAAAGCAAACAACCAGTGGAACGCGCCCCAAAATGTTAGGAGTCTTAGGACTGGTCCGATCTGAACGTCTGATCGTTCGACGGATCGTTTTTTAAAACATCGACGGCATAAACACAGCTAGACTGATCTTTTTATTGAAGCAGTGGGTAATCTTTTGGATCCTTCCGTATAGGCGAGGTGAAGGAAAGAATCAGAAGAGGAAAATCTTCCTGATCGATGCCGGATTCGGTTATGGAGGAGCTGCAGATATCTCCTGCTAATCCGGCCGGGAGTCATGGGACGGAGCAGCAGGCGGCAGGAGTGGGCATCTTACTCCAGATCATGATGCTCGTTCTCTCCTTTGTCCTCGGTCATGTCCTGAGGCGCCACAAGTTCTATTATCTACCCGAAGCCAGTGCTTCTCTCTTGATCGGTAGTATTCCTTCCCGTCCCCTTCTTAAATGTTTCCGTTTTCTATCATCGTTCAGCTTCTCCTCTTCAGCAGTCAGTTGATTGCTACTTTAGGACTTTCCTGTTATCCTACCTTTCTTTCTCCCTTTGTTGTTTTTCTTTTTTCTAATTGACAGTTTCTGCCGAAAATCCATTGGGTCTACTGTCTCATTGATAAATTGGTCCTAAAGTACTAAATTCCATGCTCAAAATCCGTTCGGATGACTACCAAAATCGGCTGACGATTGCTAAATGCGTTTGTTTGCAGGTTTGACTGTTGGTGGGCTTGCTAACATTTCAAATACAGAAACAAGCATCAGGTTCTGCTTTATTTGTTGGCTATTTCACCAATTTTTTCCCTATGTGGTTATTTTATTAAATTATAAAGTTAATTGACTATTGAGACTGGCGGGTGGTATTTCGTATTTGTTTTGCAGGGCATGGTTCAATTTCCACGAGGAATTCTTCTTCCTATTTTTGTTACCTCCAATCATTTTATATCCATACCAGAAAGTTTTTAACCATTCATTTTTTTTAACAAAACTGATATTCCTTTATCAAAGAAATTTAGGTTTAAAGTTGCTTCSAATGCTTTTTACTTTTGGTAGGGCAGAATTTTTTGTTTCTCTTGACCTTTTCTGCTTACTCAATCGGGTTTCAGTTTATCACCTGTAAGTTCCTAATTTCTTCCTGAAGTTGATATTCTATAATCCTTATTGAGATTCTGAAATATGAATACAATACAGACTTTGCTTTCTCAAAAGAAACCTGGTACTTTAATTCCAAGTTTGCATCTGATATGTTATCAACCTGTGTTTGTACTTGCAGAAACCGTTCTTTTCAAACTTTGGAGCAATTGTGACATTTGCTATTCTGGGGACATTTATTGCTTCAATTGTTACAGGGGTTTTAGTGTTAGTATTATCTTTCTCACAGTAACCTTTATCTTTGTCATCGAACATGTGACACTTTGTGTTTCACCAAGTTTCTACATGTTTCAGTTATCTTGGTGGAGTGATGTTCCTCATGTACGGACTGCCCTTCGTTGAATGTCTAATGTTTGGAGCTCTCATTTCAGCAACTGATCCTGTCACAGTGTTATCCATATTTCAAGTAGGTTATTCTTTGTTTTTTTTTTTTTTTTAATTATTGTTTTGTTTGGTAACATTTAGTATTTTATTAATGTTAAAAGGAATGGATTACAATCAGTTGTGCAAAGCACCTCGTCACATATAGGCTAGTTCTGCTACATAACTCTGCATTTACACTGTTTCGCCTACAGTTGCTGATTATGTTCCTGGAAAGTCATCCCCCCAAACAGTTCAGTTCTAGACTTCTATTAACTCCATTTGGCCAATGAATCAGCCAAACTAATTTGTTGGTCCAAATGAATGTAGTTTTGATCTCCCCACCAAACATCTTTCCTTCTCTCATTATATGCCTGCATTTCCAAGAGCCCATTCTGCTGTCTCTCAGCCATCCCACTACAACCTTGGTCACCTTGTACCACCACTTTTCTGCAGTTTGAATTTTTGCCCAACTTTGATCCCTATGTAGTACTAATAAATTGACCCTAGTCGAGTCTCCAAACCTAATTGAACAGGAGTAAATAGCCAGGATAACATTACTACCCTGAACATTTCCCCCATTTATGAACTTCTTGGGTTGCTGAGGCTAGGGAAGGCTGAAGCTCAACCTTGATGGGTGCAGTTTAGGAAATCTGGGAGTATCAGGAATTGGAGGAGCATTTAGGGACTGAAGTAGCAACATGCTTTTGAGGAGGGTGGGTTGGGACTGGGGAATTTAGTTTTGAAGAATAAAGCACTCCTAGGAAAATGGTTGTGGAGATGGCCCTTAGAACAGGAGAGACTATGGCATGAGGTGATAGATAGTATACATAGTTCAGGAAATGGATGGGATGCTGGTGTATCGCGTCGAGTCACGTTGGCAACTCCTTGGAAAGCAATTCATAGTATTCTCCCTTTTTTCCTCAACTGTATCAGGTATGATGTCAATTCTGGTACTTCTGTTTTGTTCTGGGAAGACATTTGGGTGGTCCATTCTGCCCTTAAGGACAATTTCCCTTCTCTCTATTCCCTTTCTCGTTACAAGGGTAAAGCAATCTCTCACTTTTTTCCAACATCTGTTTCTCCATCTTCTTTGAATTGGGACTTTGGGTTTCGTAGGGGCTTGAGGGGTCATGAACACTCTTGTGTTTTAGACCTTTTGTCACTACTCGAAAGTGTTTTTCTGGACTCTTTAAGATCTGATGTGAGACTTTGGTCCCCTAATCCAAAAGGTTACTTCACGTGTGCCTAGTGATTTAAAAGGCATGCCTCAGGCGTGCCTAGGCGCTCAGGCGAGGCACATTTTAGGGTAGGTGCTTCGCCCAGGTCCTAGGCGCAGCCCATTCAAAAGGCGCACGCCTGGTGCACCTTGCGCCTTATGAAAATTTGCCGCCTTTTCCCTTTTTTTGAGTCTGGCCACTGTGAAATCTAAGAATTTAAGACCCTAACATGGACTTGTTTGGGCTTGCCTCGAGGGGTGTGGCACAAAGGCGGCTTGTAGAATTAGGAATGTAATATATCACATTAGCTACTTGATGCAATTGAGAAAAAAAAAGAGATTGTGGGTTTTATATGCTTGAAAATGTTTTATATGTTTGATTTCATTTTTAAATTCTCATTTGAATATGCTTTACATATTATATTTATGTATTTTAATTTTAGATAATAGGTTTTTTGAAACATTTATTTTAAAACTTAAGTTAATATTTTTATTAATATTATATTTTATAATTTTTTGATTTCTTTTGAATTTTTTGCATTTTTTTTTGAATTTTTTGCATTTTTTTAAAATTGTGCGCCTTGCCTCAAAAAGGCACGCGCCTTGTGCCTTGCGCTTTTAAAACATTGCGTGTGCCTCCTTCTTTAAGTCCCTTTGCTCTCCCTCGGGACAAGTGGGTTTCCCAGCTAAGGAGATTTGGTCTAAACCTGTACCTCCTAAAATTATTATTTTCTGCTGGGAGGTGTTCTATAGGAAAATCAACACTTTAGACTTATTGTAGAAGAGAAGGCCTTCTATGTGTCTGTCTCCTAATTGGTGTGTACTTTGCAGGGCTAATGGTGAGGATTGCTCTCACTTACTTTTAACCTATTCTTTTTTTGATGCTATTTGGGGTTGGATCTTTGCTTTGTTTGGTTGCAGATGGAATTTGATCACAGCCATAGATCAGATTTTTGACCCTTCTTTGTGTGGCCCACAAAAATTGGTAAAACAATGTGGAGGTGCATTAGAGTTGTTGCTTTGTGAACAATTTGGGAAGAAAGAAATGCAAGGATTTTCCAAGAGGAGAGAAATATTAAGAACGTAAAGGATTGCATTTTGACTAGGGCAATCCATTGGCTGAGATCATTGGATTCCTTTAAAATATATTCCTTTGATGACATTTGGAGGAACTGGATTGTTGTGGCTAGTAGCAGTAACAGGAAGAACAGGGTACCAACTGTGTGGGTGCCTCCTTCAGGAGGCTGGACAAAGCTGAATTTTGATGGTAGCAGCCAAGGAAATCCAGGTCCATCAGGGATAGGTGGGGTGTTGAGTGATAAAGATAGTAATATATTAACTTTATTCTCAGGCTCCGTGGGTATAGGAGACTCTATTAGAGCTGAGCTTCTAGCGGCAGTACAAGGTATTCAGATTGTAGACTGATTAGGAGTTCAGAATTTGCTTATTGAAGGAGACTCCAAAGTCGTTGTGGGTTGGTTAAAAAATCCAGCTTCAGTTATTTGGTGCTATAGGGATATTATGAGCAAAACTAATTGGTTTTCAAGGATCATGACTGTTAATTATCAGTGGGTGGGTAGAACAGCTAATACCATAGCGGATGGGTTAGCTAAGCAAGGGGTATCAAGGTAACATTTATTCTGGGCAGCTCTGTAAACTTTCATTTCCTAGTCTGATGTAGTACTTTGATGTTGTTGTGGAGAGGTACCAGCTTGTGCCTCTCCTTTGGGCAGGCTGTATTGTAATTTCATTCTGATTATCATGAATAAATTATCAATCATTTATCAAAAAAAAAAGTTCCTCCTCTCCTTGGAAATCAATTTTTGAGGTCTTCTCAATTTTTGGCTGGGGAGAAGCCTCTCTTAAAATGTAGTTCCCTTTGCTTTATACCCTCTCTAACTTGAAAGGTGAAACTGTGTCCAGATTGGGAATTCCATCTCCCCAAGGAATAAATTGGGACCTTGGCTTCAGGAAAGTCCTAAGGGAGAATGAATGTGTTTTTCTTATTCAGCTACATGGCATGCTGGAGTTAGTTTTTTTGGATCAAAATGTAGAGGGTTCTAGGATTTGGTCAGTCTCTCCTAATGGTTTTCACTCTACCTAACTACCTAGGGGTAGACTTCCTTGTGAAAGAAATTTGGGGTAAGCCTGTTCTACCTAAGATTCAAGCTTTCTACTAGGAAGTTTTTCTTTGTAAGATAAATACTTGTGATATGCTGAGGAGAAGAAGGCCTAATGTTTGCCTTTATGTGCTTTATGTGTAAGGCTAGTAGTGAATCCTTATCCCATTTATTAATATCCTGCCCTTTTRTGCATTGCATTTCGGAGTTTTTTGTTCTCTCTTTGGTTGTAGGCGGGATCCCTTTCAAGATGTAGTTACATCTTTAATCCTAACTCCTGGCTTGGCCTGCATGGCTGCATCCCAAGCCTAAATTACAAGCCTAGGCCTGACCCTACATGGTCCCAGCCTAGGCTTATTGGCTATCTGGGCCTAAAAAAATTAATTATTTGAAAAAATTTTAAATTAAACAATATGTAATACATGAAGAAAACATTGCACAAGCCTAAACTAGGCTTGTTTTAGCTAGATCTTGGGCCTATTGCATAAAAAATAAATGAATGGGCCTCATTTAATTCTAAAACTTGGTTTAGATTGGATTACCTATCCTTTTATAGATGAAGGCAAGGCCTTCATTTCCATTCTTGAGCAATGTGGGACATGGAACAACTAGTGATTTAAAAGGTGCACTTAGGCGCATAGGCGAGGCGCATTTTAAGGTAGGCGCCTCACCTAGGTCTTAGGCGCAGCACTTTCAAAAGGTGCACACCTAGGACCCAGGCATGTGCCTTTTGAAAATTGTACGTTTTTTTTGCTTTTTTTGAACCTAGTGGCTGGGCCAAGGCGCTATTTGCCAATGTTATTCATTCATTCATCTTAGTAAAATATCTTCTTGAAAGGCAATTGAAATTATAAAATTRTTATTTTTTGTCTCGAGGGGCGTGGCACAAAGGCGACTTGTAGAATCAGGAATATAATATGTTTTACATCACATTTACTACTTTAAGTATTGCAATTGAGGAAAAAAAAAGAGATTGTGGGCTTTACATGCTTGGAAATGTTTTATATGTTTGATTTTATTTTTAAATTTTCATTTGAATATGTTTTACATTTTAAGTTTATTTACTTTAATTTTAGATAATAGGTTTTTTAAACCATTAACTTTAAAATTTAAGTTTATATTTCTTATTAATATTATATTTAATATTTTTGATTTTTTTTTTAATTTTTTGGCACTTTAAGTTTATTTACTTTAATTTTAGATAATAGGTTTTTTAAACCATTAACTTTAAAATTTAAGTTTATATTTCTTATTAATATTATGTTTAATATTTTTGATTTTTTTTTTAATTTTTTGGCACTTTTTTGAAATTTTCTGATTTTTTAGCAAATTTTTTTGTATTTTTGCGCCTTGCTTAAAAAAGGTGCGCACCTTGCCTTGTGCCTCTCGCCTCGGGCGCAAATTGGCCCTTGTGCTTTTAAAACATTGGGAGCACTTAATGATGAGTCTTACCGTTTAGTTTTGTCCCAAGTCCCACATTGCTCAAGAATGGGAATGAAGGTCTTGCCTAGGAGGACAACTCTGATATGTCCCGGGGATCTCAGACACAATTCTCAGACACACAGCTCAAATGAAAAGAAACTTGTATTCATTCAATGGAAAGTAATAACAGTTGGTCGGTTCTTCGAGAGACCGCCGGCTCTCCCAAACACTCAAAATATTCCTCACACACAGAATGATCCCTCCCTATCCCGAAACTMCCTTCTT